CAAAACGAAGGAGTGACGTAGATAAACAGATATATAATGCTCTGTAGCATTACCTAAAGAATCCAAGCTTATATCTCCGCTATTATTGATCCGAATCGAATGGAACAAGCGACATTCAACTTGAACGTCACTCCTTCGTCTTGAACGAAATCGATAATCATACGTCACTCCTTCATCTCCTCTTCTTCAATCTTCGAGTTTCCAAGGGCTTCATTATTTACGTCTCCTCAGGTCCTACATCACTCCTTCGGTTCCTCTTCTTCGTCTTTGTTATTTTTTGAGGTTATGTTACAAAAAATATCTGATAACCCCATATTTCCGAAATTGTTTTTTGATTAAAAAACAGATGAGTACAGTAATCACACGGTCGGATCTTATACTAACAAGTTGAGAGATAACTGTAAGTAAAAGTAATAATTTCTCGTTTTGCAGGTTCGAAAACCTGGCACATGCGACTAACGTTTGACAAGTTGCCGGGCGGGTGCAACCTGCACCGTTGCAAGCTGTGTGGGAAAATAGTGACGCACATCCGCAACCACTATCACGTGCACTTCCCTGGCAGATTCGAGTGCCCCCTATGCCGAGCCACCTACACTCGCAGTGACAATCTACGCACCCACTGCAAATTTAAGCATCCGCGCTACAACCCCGATACTAGGAAGTTCGATCAGCCCAAGTTCGAACCCCCGAATGCCATAGCGAACGACACACCGGCCGATTGATTTTGGCTTTACTACTATTTTTACTATAGGGCTATGTGCGAATCATAGCAGGGGTGCGTGCGCTAGGCAGATAGCGCAGAAGTAGGTTATATATACAGGTTTTTCTTTTTTATTTTTTTTATAATTTTATTGTTTTGTTTTTTTGGTGAAAATTATCGCAAGATCTCTACGTAATTCTACGGGTTTTAAGTTATACAATCGGCTAATAAGCAAAGCGAGTAGGTAGAGCTCTGAATGAACCCTGTGCTTTATAGAAACAGGCGTACATTTTTATAAATGTTACTACTACTCGTTCTGACGAATACACGTACGAAATTAAACTATTTCACAGGGATACTATTGAAATATCGTAAAGTAGGAGAGGTAAATAAGATTCACTCTTATTGGATAAATTACTAAATCTAAATTTTGACGACACGCCACGCGTTGTCCATATTTTTTTAAGCTAATTTTATAACTCGCAGTGCAAATGGTCCATTGAGGTGTGGTTATACTAAAAGCTGTTTGTCACGAGACTAAATACATTTCAGTTCTAAAATAATTCAGTTGCAAACAGCAAATTCAGTATTACTTTAGTTACTAAAAAATATAGTAATTAATTAGAACTTGTTTATTTTTTTTTACTAAATTTTTTACATAAAAATGTATTGACATGTTGCGCAAAAGCTTTTACAGATTTTTAACTCTTCAAAAGTTGACTGTGGGATTGTTTGTTGTTTGGGAAATTGAGTATTTTGCAGTGGATTATAATTTTGTTTTTTTTAAGCCAATTTAACTGAAAATTTACTGTAGAAGTCATTAAATTAATTCAATTTAATTAAATTAATTTAATGACTTCTGGAAGTAAATTTTCATAGTTACATTGACTGTTAAAAATTAAAAATATTATAATCCACTGCAAAATACTCAATTTTATTAATTTAATTAATTGTATAACTGTATAAACAACTATATAATAATTAAGGAACTTCAGGAATTCAATAAATTTCTGATCCTCTAAGGGTGAAATTGACCTGGAGAAAAATTTAATTGAATTTAACATTTCTACGAGCAGATTTTAAACCCGCGCCTTCTGGGCTACAGGCCCAACATCATGACCAATTAGACAATCGGAGTAATGTAAGTCCAACGTCCTAATAATTATTGTAACTCCAAACCGATTTTTCAAATTTTTTGGTGGCCCTATTTGAAATATTTCAGATACGGATCTTGTTTTTTTTTTTTAGTTCTGGTTATACCAGTTTATTTCCCATTCAACCGCATCCCAATAAGTGTCCCTATGAAATAGTATAAGTGCGTTATAAATAGTCGTTTTAAAAATACATCCTGTATAACAAATTAGTTTATTGACAGAACATCATCTTGGTTCCTGCACAGCTTTTTCTGGTTTAAAGTTAGAAATTCGTTAGTTGGGTTGTTTTTTGTTTATTAAAGACGAATTCTTTTTCTACAACATAACAAAAATTTAAAATTTACCCTTTTCAGAAAAACCTCGTAAGCAGAATTTATGTATGGTGGAGATAGTTATTACTCTCCATGCTAAATACTGAATAATTTGTCATGACAAACGACACGGTGTTGACATTTGACAGAAGGCACGCCATCTGTTTGACAGTTGACACCTTGTCTAACAACTGTCACGATTTTCAATGTTTAAACCAGTTCTATGCTTCCAAATGTTAAATTATACAAATTTTTGAGCCATTTTGATCAAACTAAAACTGTGGTATTCAACATTTAAGCTCATATTTATGTTTTAAGAAATACATGTGCCCCAATGATCAAAAACTTGCGATAATTTAAACCAAAAAAACTATTTTAATTTTGCGACTCAAATTCTTTCTCTGTGTGTTTTCCAGTACCTATGCACAATGTTTTTTCTCTCCTAAAACGGACACTTTTAAATTTTAATTTTGTATTAAACAAAATATATAAAATACTCGAGGTTGTAGCTATGACAGAGGAATTATAGCTATAAATATATATATATTACTATAAATATTTACGCATAACAAAAAAACACAAATATATTTATCTAATATAAAGAGGCGAAAAAAAAATTATTTCAAAAAATTTCTTCTATTCTAGTCTAAAATATTATCTTTCCCGACAATTTCGTGCAATTCAACCCTCTTATTTGCGATCCTATAAATTTAATTTGACGACGATGATTCTTGAAAATTACAACATTATAACGTGCCGTTTGCGATTGGAAATACGTCTCAATATTATTATTAGAATGTGACAAAGTGTGCTTAAAAAGACTGTCTTGACTAAAATCTTTTCGCAAAAAAATCGTTCGTATTGTAATTTCTGTCAAAAGTCAAAAGTCCACTTTTTTTTACTCACTCGTAGCGTCCAGTCAAATGTTTTTTTTTTTTCTATTGTGATGTCGTTTGAGGAACGTTTTGCTGTTAGTCTTTTATTTTGTTATAACTTCTGTATTCTAATGAGAGACAACTGACCGGTGAGTGAGTCGGCCCTTTCACAGTTTCGAATTTAAAATACAGAGTAATCCCATGCAGAATTAGATTGAATACTTTGCAATTATTGTAAAATTAAATATGTAAAAGTTAATTAAAAATAATTCATTACAGCTGTTTGTAGGTGGCACTACCTGTGATTGGCCTTGAGCGTCATGGTTTAAAATTTAACCTATTATTTTATGAATTCTTTATTTTTAATAGAAATTATCAGAATTTAAATATTTAGACGTGAAAGTCATTTTATTTTTGATTACTGTCAGTAAACCTACGTAAAACGTAATAACACATTTTGAGGTTAGGATTTTTAGGTTCCTAGAACATAAAAGCCTGCAGTGAAAACAAATTTCAGTTATTCATTATTCTATGCTTTCAGAAGGTATCTGCTCAATAGGTGGGTTGCTTATTTATTTTAATCCTATATAAAATTCTACCTCTCAATTTAACCATCGTAACCATCTTTAGCAATAGTGCGTCAATTTATGACAGTTCATAAGCTGGGTAAAAATACTCGAAAATATGATGAAACCCTCTTCTTTGGCAACACTGTTACCGTAACTACACTATCCTAGATGATTTTCACTCTGTAACTTTGATAAGACAAGCGACAAGTTCTCAGTTTAGCCCTATACACCTGTCAGCGACTTGTCGACTAGGGGTGAGATTACAGAACGTCTGCTACTTTGCAGATCTGTAAATATGGCGGACTTACAAATGCAAGTATTCCAAAATATATCTGCAAATTCGCAATATTTATTGTGGTTTATTACCCTCAACAACACTAAACCCAAATTTGGAATACGAAAACTTGATACTTGCATGTGTAAGTCAGTCATATTTGCAGATATGCAAAGTTGCCGCCATATTTGCAGATCTGCAAAGTTGCAGACGTTCTGTAATCTCACCCTAGCAACACAACCTAGTGAGGTCTAAGTATTGTGGGGCAACAGATCCTCCCCTTTCTAACAGATGCAGAACCCTGATCAATTCTAGCCTCCCGTTTCTTTTGTTTTTAATTAGTTTATTAATATGTCAACTGTTATGGCTTTTTAATACAAAAACTTATGGACATCATTGATTCAGTGTTGTCTAATCGTCAGAATAGTTGTAGGAATGTAGGAAGTTTCAAAAATGTAAGGTTTTATATTTTTTTAATTCAGAACCAATTACGAACCAGACTTATATGTCTAATTATTTAGGGTTATGTCAAGTGATCCATCAGTCCATCAGCAGAAAGAGCAGATGGATTTGGTGACAACCAACTGGAGATTTAGTTGAATTTTAGAATCCGATTTATGACTCATCTAAAAATTGTTGATGGATAAATAACAATTTTGATGAATATTTGATGGTACCGATGAATATTAGAAAATGTCCCTTCTAAAAGCATAAAACGAGACGTAGTTAGACTAAATTAAATATAATAGCAACAAAACGTTCCTCTGATTACTTCCAACTAAGAAAAGAAAAGTTGGCCGGACATAACTAGTAAAGAAAAAGTGTTTCCTAGACCAGTAAGAAGATAAAATAATGATAAAAAATTTAACAATTATTCTAAAAAAAATTTAAACTTCATCGTAAGATAAATTACCGAATCAATCCAAACTAGCCAATTTTGCAACTCGATATAGGGTCGGCAACATTTTTTTAAATGGCAACAAACTTAATGGATTGCTGGACGATAAAAAAATGTAACATAGCTGTAAATTGATATAATTTTTATTTCAATATTTAAGAACTACCAAATTTTAAAACTCTCCGAAGTGGAACTTCATTACACCTACCTTTGACTTGTCTATTCCTTAATCAAACCTTTAATCATCTGTGACTTCAAAGCCAATTTATTATCATCAACATATCGCATTTTATAGATGTCTTCTATCAATAAGTTAAGTGTATGGGCGACACAACCGTAAACAGATATATGTTTATACTTTTCATGCATGATATTTCTGGCTTTGACCATTGCACTGGCGTTGTCTGTCACTAGAATAATGAAATTTTCTGGTCCTATTTCTATTAGTACTTCTTCTACTTTTTCTGCCATGTACTCTGTAGTATGTCGATTTGTATCAGTAGTAAAAATGTTAAAAAACAGGTGTAGGAGTGGTGATAATAAAATTAATAATGGCCTCGTTTCTTCTGTTGCTTCAACCATCACACTGCAGACCCAGAGCATTAGCTTCACATATTTTAACTTTTATGTTGGCTGCGATTGTTCCGTATTCTGATTCTAGAAGTTTATTAGACAAAGAATGTCGTGAAGGCATTTTAAAAGTTGGCCATAATTTTTGAAAGAATAACTGCCAATGTTTATTTTCCGAGATTGCAAATGGTGTTCCAGAAGCATAAATTGCCCTTGCAAACAGTTGTTCCAACTGTGCTTGCTCTTCTCTATTGGAGAAATCCATAAACCTACGTAAACTAGAAGTTGATGCGCTACCTGTTATGCTGACAGTTCTCGAAGTTATACAAATGTTTCGTTATGACTTGAATTGAATTTAACTTCAGCAAAAAAGTCCCTTTCACCCTCCGTGTAATAAGGCTTTAATTTTTAAATTTTGCCCTCCTCCCCTTACACTCACATCCTTTAAAGTAAACCCATCACTATTTATTTATAAAAATTTATAAAATATCTATTCAGGAAATAAAATACAACAAACTTATTATACCCCTTCAGCTACTTTTTTTAAATGTTTTTTGATACAAATATATAGTTTACCATACATCATATTCGCTACTAAATATTTACATACCTTTCAAGGATGAATCTGCAGTACTCATCGGAGAGGCAATGGATACACTTCGACTTTCCCCTATTTTAAAGCGTTTTTTAATATCACTGGGACATTTCAGTCACTTCAACAAGTGTTTTGTCATTCTTGTTGCATTTTTAACATATTCACTTGCACAAAATTTGCAAACATAAATCGTTTTTCCTTCAAGTTTTTTATATTATAGTAATTCCACACATTTAAATTTTTGGTTTGGTTATTTTATTACCCCTTATCCTATTCATTTTGCCGATTTATGTGTTCAATAAAAGAAAATAATTCTTATACGGTCTTTTGTTTGCACGTTATGACTAGGGTTGCCAGATTTCCGAAAGTGAAAAGCGTGACAACCGTGATGACAGAGCATTAGGTTCAAATACCAAGCAATATTATAAAATCAGGTCCATTTTTTGTAAACATTTCTAGAAAAAAAGGTCCTCAGCTTATTTTTCGTAAAAACGAGGGTATTTTACCCGGATATTTGTCTATTTTTGTGTTAATCCGGTTCCTCTGCGGCTTTAAATTAAAAGCGTGGCATTTGCATAAAAAGAATGGCATTTTTGTCAAAAGCGTGGCATTTTCGTACTGTGGCGTTGCGCGTACAAGCAAGTTAAAATGCGTGGCAAATTTGCAAAAACGTGACGTCTGGCAACCCTGGTTATGACACGAAAAATTACAAATACATGCCTGGGATTCCCCGCAGTCCGTTTTGCTCGGTAAAAATCGATATCCGATGGCAACGCTCGGTCGCGTTTACACCGTGCTTCTTAAAGCATTATGAGAAAATTACCGTTGAGAATTTTCTACCCGAGAACATTCTCGTTCTCGAGAAATTTCTCGAGAGAATATTCTCGCCTCACATCACTAGTACTGATTTTGCGTTTTCTTATCTTATTTAAAATTTGAGAAATTAGATCCCTTCTTCGTTCGAAGTCATTAATGTTAATGTAAACAAATGTAAGAAGAGTTTTATAATTTCGATACAAAAAGAACCTAACGTTTTCAACGTTCATGCATTTTCTACAAAAAGTTGCAAATCTACGAGCACATTAAACCAGATGAATAGGATCCAGAATAGTTTTGACTTGTTTCAAATGAGGCGCGGAATCGTTCAAGGTCGAATACTGAAGCAGTTACAGGGGCATAATTGGTAAACAGGTAAAACTGCGCTATTTGTGGAAAGTAAACGTTTCCCACTTTCGAGTTGATGTTGCTTCAGTTTGTAGTAATTGCAAATTTACCGTTTAGTAATCCATTAATTTAGTTTCTTGCCGAACCTGTATCGAGTTGCAAAATTGTTTCGATTTCTTTGGTACTTTATCTTATCACGAAGTTTAAAAATGTTAGAATTAATGTTAAAATTTTCACCTGTTTACTGGTCTATTTTTAATTTAAAACGTTTGCCATTAATTTTATCGGATCTTCGAATATATTTGTGTCTTGACACAATAAAGCTTACTATAACCTAAGAATAGTAAAAAATCTGTGATGTTTTTTGGAGTTTGACTCAATTAAAAAAAATTACTCTTTTATAAAGACGAACAACACTTCACTTAGTTAGATAATATATATAAATGTTTAAAAAAAAAGTATAAAGCTTGTAACCGTCCCATCGAATTGATTAAAAATTAAAAGAATGATTGTGGCGGTAGAACGTACTTTTTTATATATTTCGATTACAGAAATGAATTTTATTGGTAAAAATAAGTAACTGTGTCATTTATACATAATTAGGTAGAAATTTGGTAACGTTTTAACATAGAGTATAAAAATAGTGACCTGACTAAATCAAATGATTTTGGAGGCTTTGTAACGTGCCGAAAATAGATGTAACAAGACGAATTTATTGAGTATTCCAAAACGATTTCATAGATATTTGTGTAGAAATCTTTATTTAATCAACTCCTTTTTTTAGAGCACTAAGTTTTTTTTTTGTTGAAGATCAACATAGGATTAATTAAAACGACGTTTTGTCTTTAAAGCGCCTCCCTGAAAAAATTTTTAAATACGAACCTGTACTTTTTATTTAATTTTTAAAATCTCCATTTCTTCAATTCAACCATGCATCACACAAAAAAATGTTTTTATTACAATTTGACAATGAACTTGTTAGTTTTTTTTTCCAAATTTTGCCAAATTAAGCGTTATTTCTGATGGACTCTTTGGTGACTTACTTTTACCAACAAAATCGGTATTTAGAATTTTATATTTTCATTTACAAAATGACATTTTTAAAAACCTGCATTATTAATAAATAATTATTATTATCTATTGCCAAACTAACTAGATTGAATTAATATATTTAAGTGCAATTGTTTTATAGTGTATTACCTCATTTCTTATCTCAGTTTTTATTAATATATTATTATTTTTTAGTTAGAAAACTTATATTGTAAAAAAATATAAAATGTAATTTTAAGGTTAAAAATCTCTCGAATTTTATACGGTACCTCGGTATTTGAGGTATTTTTGCGGCCTTTTAAATAGATAAAATTGAACGTAGTGGATAATTGCAACTTTTCGATCATATTTGACAAATTACTGGTATATTTACTTAATGTATAGGAATCCGGTTAGAGATACCGAGTGTCTAACGCACATTGTTAAAAGTGGATTATTTAGATTTTTATTGATATAAGTTGTCTTGGACACTCTGTATAGAAAAACTGATATTTTTCGGATCGTTTCTGTATATTTTTTTATGCGGAGAACCTATTTTAAGTGCAATATCTGAATTTTCTAATATATTTTTTGTTCTAAGTAGATACTCTACTTGTTTAAACCAAGTTGTTATTTTGTTTGTCGTATGTTTAAATTTTGAGATAAAAAAATATTTTGATTCCTCTAAATTTTATGTACAAAAAATCAACACATTTTTGCAAAGTACGTGTTTTTGCAACCTTCCGATTTTTCGTGATTTTCTTTGTACCTCCGTATCTAGCTGTTCTTGAAGTTGGCTGAAACAGCTCATAGAGATTGTAGATCTACTCAATGATACCTACAAAGGAGCATATCAAACGATAAAATAAGCAATTTATAATATTTCAAGGCGCCATTTTGTATTTCTAATATTTAACGTCATACTCAAAATCAGACTTTGAAAACCCCATGAAACTCTCCAGGGTTCATTTTTATGCAAAATAATATTTTTAAGCGCCATTTTGTATTTCTAATTTTTATTTCCATATTTAAAATCAATACCCCAAAACTTCTTAGAAACCCTTCATGTTTCATTTTTATGCAACACGCATTTTTTAATATTTTATGGGCGCCATATTGGATCCGCCATTTTGTCTCTCTAAATTCAACATCAGGTTTTTGGTATCGCAATTTATTTCAACTCAACTTTAACAACAATTATACAATTGATAACATTAACATGTAACGTCTATCATAAAAACTCAAAACTGACGTCAAGATCATCCTTATATAGCTTCTCTTAATAATCTCCTCAATCAGTTCAGGCCCTATGAAATCGTCGTCGTCGTCGTCATAAAATTCACCCATTGCGTTAGCAAATGAATGTTTACGCTTTTTCAATGACAATCTAGTCTGCTGTGGAGGACACTCTTCAATAACACTTGAGCTCTTTCTATCAGTCTGCTCTTGTATAGTTTCCTCTTTGCTTCCTTCCGATGAAGAACTACTAGGAGCGTCGGCCAGTTCTGAATCGTGGTGTGCGTCGGAGAGCTCTTCCTCTGCAGAATTTCGAAGTTCCGGAACTATTCCGGCAAAATCTGTTGCGATTGGAAGATACGCGTTCGTATTGTCATTTAAATCTGAGCTGTTCGCTCTGTCGCTGCCATTGTAGAAATCGGAAAAGAAATTGTGAGCAGGCGAATTGGAATGCGAGCTAAAATTCATGACGGGACTGGGGGAAAATTTGCGCAAATTCAAATTGTGCAAATTGAACGATATGGCAGTCACTTTGGCCATATCTTCTGATTGCAACGTTTTTTCGTACTCCTTCACTTCGGGTATAACCGCCGGTTGGTTGATGAACTCGCTGCAATAATTGTCGACGATCTGGCTGACTACCTTTTTCAAATCCAGCAGATCGTTCGACAAATTTTCTTCTTCGGTGTCAGAGAAGGAGTACCTATGTTCGCGCTCGTGCGCCATGATCTTTCTGCGTAACTCGTTAGTGTAAAAGGGATTTCTGGGAACGGGTTCGGGGCGAGAGTGACTAGGAATGAGGCAAAGGTAATTTTCCAAAATGCCAGAGAGGAAATCGCAACAAATGTTGCAATTAAACGGAATGTATAAGTAATCTTCAATGTCAAAAGTTTGGTCTACAGTACCTTCATCGAACGCGTCGAACCTCTGGTGGTGGTGGTGGCGATTGTTGTTCGTTCTCTTCTAGTGAGGAGAAGTGCACAGTGTCCGACTTCGAAAGCCACGGCGTCGATTTTTCATAATCGATTTGGAGCAACTTCATCGAATTGTCGTTTCTCTGGCTTGGCGTACTGGGAGGAGTTGTAGTGGCAATATTGGGCACGTTATGATTGTTTCTTCGTTTCCGTTTCTTGTACTCCCTGATTTCCGTTTCGCTAATTTGCTCCGTAAAACTGGCTTACTCTGAAGTTCCGTTGGTGGTTTGTCCTTGTAACTAGCCGAAGATTTTAATTTCATTTTGCTGATGAGGATCCTCAGACATCTCTCGGCGGGTTTCTTGGACACTTCCAAATCGATAGACTTCACATTGGCCATCGGCAGTGCTAAGGTATCGATGGTGTAAACTATATTTTCCTTGGCAAATGTTATCCTCTTTTGAGCGATTTCGTCGTGGTGGTGGTAGTGATTGGAGTAAAAGATTCTTATTTTGATGGCTCTTCTCTACAGTCACAGAGTTATCTCCTTTTCTCTTGGCAGAAGCGCTTTGGATGCAATCCTGCTGATAATTGGCCAGATAGTAGTTTTTGAAATCATCGATGCCATCATATTCGGGAGATTTAAGATCCGAGGGGCTGCTAGTAGAGGCAGGTGTAACGACTCGTTGAGGTGATTCTGTGGAAGTGGTGTGGTATTCAAGGGACGATAGCAAGGGATCGGCGAACAGATCAAAATCGGATACACCATTCAATCGGTTCAGCTTCAATCCATTGTTCTGAAATTGATTTAACCTCAATTTGTTTTTCTTCAACTTCTATTTGTTGATTAATGACAGGTTCAGCTCCAACACTGTCGTTATCGGGTGCTGCATTGGAGTCGCAAGTACTGGATATATCTGGGGAAGTTGGGGAGACGTACGATTCGCTGGGTCTCGTTTCGGTAGATTTCGTTAACTTGTGGGAATTGTTACTGGAAATGGTGGAATGCGGCATATACATTTTGGTCCGATCGTCTTCTGACCTCGATATCGTACCTCGAGCTGCTTCAACGAGCCTCGTAGAATAATCCGGCAATTCTATGGCATCGTAATTAGACTTGGTGGTTTTGATTGTCGGGGCAGCCTCTTTTTTTCTGGTGAATTTTCTAGATATTTCTCGTGATTTGACGGAATCATTATCGGAATTCTCTAATTTGGTCAACGGCGACGACACCGAGTCCGTTTGTAGCACTGGTTTTTCTCCGGTTGTCGCTTTGGGATTTGCGGTGATTTCGATAGAGTCCAAAAATAACATTTCTTCGTCTTTTTTCGCTCTACGTGCGCACGAATTCGAAAGGCTGGCGCGTGGCTCTTTCAATTGCAAATCGGTAAATTCAATGATGTCGTCGTCTTTATCATCCAAAATTTCATAAACCACTTTTTGAGGGTCTATCTCTAGCGCTTGGTCGGTTATTATTATGCAGTCCCTTTTCCCGGACAAGCTCAGCTTTTGGGGTTAAAATTCACTCGTAAGGGGGTGAATTAGGGAGAGTATTATTATTATTAGCTCAATTACTCCTTATTACTCTACTTTTCAGTACAAATATTCTCTCAAATATTACCTATTTCCCAAATGTTACTCCCTTTCGGCAAATATTCGTAATTTTACCCCACTTTTCAAATTTTATCCCAATTTCTTCATTAACTATCAAAAGTTTAAAAAAAAACATCCGAAATGTTGCCCCTTAAAATTTACCCCATTATTTCATCTCTTCCTTTTCCAAAAATGAAACACATGACAGTTTCGTATGAAAATCGTAGCGATTTCAATGATGACCTGTATACTGCAAAATAAATAATTGAGGGGTAATTGAAATATAAAAAATGCATGGTAATCAATAAAAAAAATCTTTTTTCCAGAGTGAAGTTGTATTCAAAAGTAATGTTAAAATATGGAGTTTTTGAGTTATTTGTTTTCGAATTACCTATAGTAACTGTTATTTCTTATGGCGTCAATTTTGATTTTTTATATACTACTTTTTAAACGATATGCCACATTCCATCCAATTTTTAGGAAACGCCCCTTTTTGTGTCATCGGCTTTAACTGCTAAGGTTATCTCGTGTTCTGCGTAGGCTTTGTCACTTTCCCAGCGCCACTTTAGGAACAGCACCGTTAATTAGAACCCAACAGTGAATGGTCGAGTAGGGAATCCTTATCAGAATTAATTTTAAATAATTAAATTAAATAAAAAAATCCCGGCCAACGGTGGGATTCGAACCTGGGACCCTTGGATCCGCAAGCAGAGCCACCCCTACGCCCCTTATTAATGAAAATTAATATTTTCTTGTTTTGACAACACGCATCCATCCAAATAGCATGTCGTATACTATAATTTTTGAAATATAAATGTAGGCCATGCGATACATCTTTTGAAATGTATTTTAATACAATATTTATTAAAATATCCCCAATTCCTACATTCACATCTTTACTAACTGAGATATCGAGGCACATGCCTTCGACGGTCGAACTCGCAGATTTAAAGTCATTCAGATACTCATCTACGAGTTTATTATTATTTATAAAATTACAATGACATCTACAAACATGTTCAAATTGGCGACCTTCAACTATAATTCGGCGAGAAAGACGAGCAGTAAACTCTTCTCTGTAACTTCCGGAATTATTTGTAGCATCTCCATTCGAACGCTTTCTTTTAGTTCATATGGATTTCGTTGTCCATTTTGATATAATTTACTTTTTATTGCTTATTATATATTAAAAAAAACATACGACAACAAAAAATAAAAACCAGTTTACGAAAATATATTATCCGTAGTTTTTTCTCGAAACGATTCGAAAAAATCCAAATCAGCTCTACTTTTTTGCAAACGTACTGTTCGTGAATCAAAAACATTTTAACTCTTTTTAATATATTCAAGATTTATAAAAATACTCACATTAAAGAAAAGTGATTTTGTACACTTTTGAATTTAATACAATAACTCTTGTAAAGATTGTATATATAAATATATTATATTAAAAACAAATTATTCATTAATATCTCGATCATTTTTAAGTGAAACTCGCGTGATACTTTTTTGTATAAATATATATTTATTTCGGAGCCTGTCCCAATTATCTTAAACGCCGTTTAGAATAAATTCTAAGTACTTAACATCTCTTAAAAATCATCAAGATGTCAAACATCGTTCAAGATGACTACAGTTAGGTTTTTAAGATAATTGCGATTCGCCCTATACATTAGGCGCTGTCTAAAAAAAATGTCAATTGACTAGTGTCGGCCTTTTGAAAAAAGTGAATCGATGTAAAGCAAGCCTTATCTTTCCTTATAAAAACGTATTTGATCAAATTTTATTATAATTCCAAGGAAATTAGTAGTATAAATTAATATAACGATGCACGGGGTTTTACTGGAAATGTTAGGTCGAATATAAAGGTTATAATCAGGTTAGATATTTTTTTACATCAATAATAAATATTTGACCAGTCTTTTCAGCTCTGAATAAAGGAGAAAGTAACTACTTTCTGATCGGGTTATATAGACTATTGCTAAATTGTATTAAATATACATTATCCGTGCATATACGAGGATTGATACCTGACCCCTTTTATTTATACTATTTTTGTTTTCAAGAAATTATTTTACCTGATGCCAATTATCAAAAAAAAACTACAGAACTTTTTGATTAATGACAAAGCCTTGCCCACACACAGTATTATCCTCCTCCGGATCCTTTTAATATGCTTGAGAATCAACTCTCGCATCTGAAGTAGCCTTTGTATTATCCTGACTTTTAAAAAAAATGGTTAAACTTTTTCATATTCGAAAAGTAACGTTTTGCACCAGTGAAACCCCGAGTGTAATTTTAAAGCAAAAAAAAATCCGTTCCAAAATTTTTAAACTTGATTAGTCGATTTATTTTTTCTAGTTAGAACGAATATTACAACGAAAAATGTATTAAAAATGCGAAAATCTAATAAGATTTTTCACAAATATATATTTTTCCTTTGATTGTTTTGAGAGTTTAAAAATCTATTTTCTTTTTTTGTAAATATTTTTTTCTTACATCGAGGAATGGTTTTTAAGTTTTTTGCGTTATATTTTCTAATCGCTTATCAAATATTAACTATATTGAACAAAAAAAAAAAAGAAGAAGAAAAGTAACGAAAAAGTTGGTTAGTTTTTATATTGATATATTATACTAAATAATATTTCTAAAATATGTATTGGCATTAACTATTAAAATTAGGGATGAGTTTAACTAAAAAGATTGTGATATGATAAGGATTGGTGCTAAGCAACCTTGTACTACACGAGTTTAATATTTAAAATTGTGCAATATTTAGTTATTACGTAACACTTTGTTTATTATACTCTTTAATTTCTGTATTTGCTCCCTATCTACTGGATAATTGAACGAGAACTGTCTGTATTTAAATGTTTCCGAAAAACATGCCAAACCAAACTTTTTAATCTAATAAAAAAAATTACAAAATTGAATCACCAAATATTCACTTTCTATTAATTTTTTCACTGTATAATCTACGAGGAATCGGAACACGAGTGCCGAACGCAATTTTTTTATCAGGATCCTTTAAAAACATCCCAAATATACAATATGTCTCACTGAGTTGGAATTATATGGAAAACATTATTGGTTTTGTAAACAAATTTATACTTGATAAAAAGTTCTGGATGGTCCAAAACTTAAAATGCAACCATCAATATCAATTTTTTTTAAGCCGTATACGAGGTTTGTCAAAAAATATTATTTTTGGTGAAAAGT